TGAGAGAGAGGGAGAGAGGGAGAGAGAGAGAGAGAGAGTGAGAGAGAGGGAGAGAGGGAGAGAGAGAGAGTGAAAGAGCGATAGCGACAACACCTACCATCTGTATGACGTGAGGATACACTGGCTCCACCATGACACCTCGGTTGCCTGTGATGAAATCCACGAGCTCATTCAAGCATGCCCGCTTCACCTGCAATGTGGCGAACACCAAAATTAAACATGAAAAATAAATGCGGCTCGGCAAAAAAACATTTTCAGGAAGTGCGGAATGAAAGAAATGCCAGATCCAAAAATAACGGGCCACTCGATCCTTCTTGACGTTGCGCTGATATCGACACCTTACTTGCACGATATGTTCGTGCGTAACACATACACTAAACCCGCTTTGAGTCGAAAAAGATAAGTACGTTAAGTACTAGACACGGTGAAAGTCGTAGAATGCCAGCAGCTAACGAGTTCACAGTGGGTCTGGGCACAGGCACGAATGACATCATTGCAATCAAAATCGCTACTGGACACAAACGAAGTTACTACACAAATCGGCAAACTATTCTAAATAATGAATGATCACTAGTGCAACTCGAGTTAACAAATGTTAACATGATCGCACCATGTTAGCACAAGCACAACGATAGTTAATTGTGATTCTACCTGACAGCATGAATAGGACCTGAATGGGATTCTACCTGACAGCATTAGCAAAGGTGCAAGACTAGTTATAAATGGCATTGCATCAACAAAAACGCAACACATAGTGACATTAACTTAGTACAACATGGGTTAACAGCGTTTACCCAGTGTCCATTCTAGCCATTTATCAAATGGGGTCCTGGCCCCCCTTATTGTTCCAATTTATGGGCCCTTGCGAGCGCCAAAGGCGCAAAGCCTAGCTAGGGAGGTCTGGGGGCATCTGCCCCCCCCCAAATATTTTTCAGGCAAACATCAAAATGGTATGTTTTTATTATAATTTCACTAGCTTCACTCCTTGACATTTAAGATATTCATCCCTTGCCAAGTTATAAAAAGTAAAAAGTCATCAGTATGTATACTTATAACGCAGACAGGCGTTTGATCAAAATAATTTTGCGTCCATAACAACATCAGATGCAGCTTTACAATAAATATTGCGTTACTAATGCAAGTAATGCAAGGGCGCACCCAAAAATGAACACTGTTCACCGAGCTATTTACCACGCGAGCACAAGTGCAATACTAGTTAATAACATTCAAATATGCTTCCTATAGTTCTATATTTATAGCCTCACAGCATCTAAAAACAACGTCGTCAAATCTATTTGAATTAGTGCACTGGATCTGTGCCAAATATAATGCCAGTGCATGCACCCACTGCTCAAAATCCTAGCAACAGTAGCATGGGTAAAAAGCAACACTAGCTAACGAGATTAAACTAATTAAAGTGCAACAGTAATTAACAACATTAACATCTAGTTAAAGTGTAAAACTAGCTACCAACATTAACGTAGTTAAAGTGCATCTCTAGTTAACATCATTTGGGAACATAGTACAGCTGCTGTGAGGCGCTCATTCAGGGTTCAAGCTGGACAAAAGATTGTTAGCAATTTGTCTAATTTGCTCTGAAAATGTTTAGCCAAATTCTACTATAAACTTAGTTAATGTAGTCGTCTATATACTAGCAAAGGCCACTTCGGTCTTTTCCGGAAAAATTTCGATACCGAGTAAACAATGAACACACGCAGTGTACCTGATGCTTAGGGCCAGCAAGTAACGATCTCGTGTAGAATTCGAGCGGCCTACGAATTAGCTTGTAGCGGTCGTTAGTGTGTAGAATTTGAGTTCAGCCTCGAGGGCCTAATTAGCTTTAGCTTTTTGTTGAATTTATGATGACATTTTTTTTTCAAAATCAACTTTAATTCACATTTGGCAAATACGCGAACGACAGCTTAAACCATGAGCATTAGGAACTAAGATGCACAAGCAAATGAATACCTGTGTACACCAGACAGCTTAAACCCTGGCTCTCTCCCCGCATTCACTCACTCACTCACCTCTTTGCTCTTCAGGTCTGACACGGGGTCCATGAAGTCGAAGACGACGCAGCACTGCTGCAGCTTCTTGATGAACAGATCGGTCTGTTCGCTTGACGGAACATCTGCAACGAGGGAGCGAACCTTCAATGACACGCCGCACGGTTGACGCGCGCTCACTGCCAACTGACACAGGGGAGCTGGAGATGGCGTCTCCAACACCGACGACACCGACGACAGTGACGCTGACGACGACGACGACGACAGTGATACTGACGATGACGACGACGACAGTGACACCGACGACGACAGTGACACCGACGACGACAGTGATACTGACGATGACGACGACGACGACAGTGACACCGACGACGACAGTGATACTGACGGTAACGACGACGACGACAGTGATACCGACGACGACAGTGATACTGACGATAACGACGACGACGATGACAGTGATACTGACGACGACAGTGATACTGACGATAACGACGACGACGATGACAGTGATACTGACGATCGTCATCATTGTCAGTATCACTGTCATCGTCGTCGTCACCGTCAGTATCACTGTCGTCGTCGGTATCACTGTCGTCGTCGTCGTTACCGTCAGTATCACTGTCGTCGTTGGTATCACTGTCGTCGTCGTCGTTATCGTCAGTATCACTGTCATCGTCAGCGTCATTGTCGTCGGTGTCACTGTCATGTCGGCCACGTCAGCAGATCGATGAATTTTCTTCGGACAACGTGCAATGTGCTCTCACGCACGTCGGATTCGCGCAGTGTCCGCTCATGCGAACGATCGTCCGGCACGATTCAGAAGTGGACACCGTTACCTTTCAGTAGTGGAAGTGCTGTGAGTTCCTGATCGCCCTGCGTGCGATAGCGGGACGAGCCCTGCGACCGGCGCTGCCTCTTCTTGTGCGTCCTCTTCGCAAACGGATCGATCTTGTCGACGAAAGCACCGGCGGACATGTTGACGCTCGACGTGGCCTCCTCCTGAAACGCCGACACATCGCGGAAACAATTCACGGTGAGAGAGACTCGCAAGAAAGACGGCAAGGCAAAGTCACAATGTCAAGTAGTACGAATTGTATTTTTCATGGAGTCAGACACGCAGCTAAATCTTTGGGGAAATCATGCAAATTTTAGTGGATCCAGGGCCATCAGCCTGTATCAGTAGATGTGGTAGATCGAGTTTAGAGACATAGAAGCCTTGGAGAGTCTACTGTACCAATGTACATGCCTAACATTGTACCTAACATTGTACACACTACACATTGTATACATGTACCTAACATTGTATTTTTAACATGTATTTAAAAAAGTGCCGGAGCCATTATATTCACATGTACGTATACCACTCTGAAATTACGTGTATCTTAAAAACAATTTTACCTTACAATATGTTTTATATTACGCGTTTTACATAAATAAAATGGTAAATTATAAGCTAACATAGATATTATTCTATGTTCATATATCAGGAGTAAACATTAATTATGTTATGTAGCAAAATGCCAGACGAACCTGTATGACAATGGTTTACCTGTTAATGTCTTCTCACTCCGGCAGATATGTGCTATAAATGGAACGTAGCACCAGTAGATGACAATGTGGAAAGCCTTATGGGATGGTGGACAAACTTTTCTGTAGTCCACTCCTGCCTTTATAGTTCCATGATCACAATGATCTCAGCTACATTTATATTGGTCGATTTTATCTGACCTGCAAAATTCACAATACGAACGTGTTTTTACTCAGTATACTCGCAAATTAACTTGCCCTCTGTGACTTTGGGTTGGAGCGTGATGATGCATCGATAATCATTACAAATTATATTTGTAAGTTAAAGCAAATCTTCATTTCGTTGATGAAATAATATGGCAGAGTGCGAGTTCCATTATTTAAATTCACATGACGTACATCACTGCAAAATACTGCACTCAGGCCTGTTTGTTAGTAGCAACTAATAACTAGTCCAGGGGTTTCATTAAAACCCAAATCACAGTAAACTCAACCACGTATTTTGGCTTGATGCCATGTATTGTACATGTATTGTCTTCTGTGGCTACTGCCATACACATAGTCCTAGTACTTTTAAAACAATATTTAGTAAAACCACTGCTAGTGCCTAACTAGTGCCTACTACTAGTAAAGGGTGTGATAGACTATTTACTGCAATTATGTCACTTCGTGCGTGCTGGATCACGCTTAAACACAACTTCAGAAAAAGATTAACCTAGTAGGCAAGAAACTGTACATATCCACAAGTATTGCAATGATTAATCACAATAAGATTGATTACGATAAGATATCCACTACACGATTCATGATACAGCTTTACATGAGTATTGATACAAATTGCAATACTCCCAAAAGAAACCTGCACTTAACTCATGTTAACCATCCACCCCGTGCCTCGTCAGGTTGTGAAAATCTTAGTCAGGTGCACCATGCATGCTTATATCAAGAGCGTATAAAGAAGGAGAGCGTACAACGGTGAAATGGCCGGTGAAATCATGTTGCAGTATTAGTCGAATTAAGAAACTTTGCCCGTTTTATTTTGACGATTCTTTGCGGTATTATTGATCAGCTGTCCTACCTTGTTAATATAAAACAAACCGCTTGTCCCTGCGATGCTCCTACGCTGAGATAATGAGCGGTGGAAATCTGGTATTTTCGCAAAAAACCGACTTAAGATCAGTGTTTACTGCAACTGTCTCTCGCTTTGTGGCCAGTGTATTGCTTCCGGTCGCAGCTGTGTATCGCCATGGTAGCGCTTACTCATGTCAGTACTACAGAGATTACTATACATCCAGTGTAAGGTGGGCACAGGTGGGGGTCATCACTATGGCAATTAATAACAGACGTCATTCATTCCATTTGTCAATCATTGACGGAAACACGCGAGGTTTCCCGAAATTATCTCAAAGCGAGAGACAGTCGCAGTAAACACTGATCTCGAGTCGGTTTTTGGCGAAAATACCAGATTTTCACCGCTCATTATCTCAGCGTAGGGGCATCGTAGAGACATGCGGTTTGTTTTATATTAACAAGGTAGGACAGCTGATCAATAATACTGCAAAGAATCGTCAAAATAAAACGGGCAAAGTTTCTTAATTCGACTAATACTGCAACATGGTTTCAGCATTTCACCGTTGTACGCTCTCCTTCTTTATATGCTCTTGACGATATCTATCTATTGAGCTATACTGGCGACAGCTCCGTGAAGGAATAAATTCCAGGGCTATAGCTAGCCCTATCCTTCTTTATACGCGCGTCTTGCTGTATATAATGGAACATGCTGATTTTACAATGCCATTAGTCACTATAAGATCACTATGTTGCCATGTAAATTCTGATTCCACTATTACTTGCATGAAATGGACAATGTTTATGAAAAGTACTGTACACCTTTATGCAAGATTCGATTATCTTTTGGTAACACTAGCGCATTATCATTTGCTATCATAGCCCAAGATATCCTAATACCTAAATTATGCTATACTAGGATGTCGATTATTGCACCGCCTAATGTCTACTAAATTGCAATTGCAAAACTGCTTTATGGCCATGATAGCAATAACAACTGACCTCGTTCTTATGACAAATCGAACTCCTACTCATGCATCTGGATTATAGGTTCACTTTTATTGTTTATATTCACTCACATGTAAGAAAACAACTGCTGCCGTATTTTCTAAAAGAAGGCATTTAGCTTCGCTACTGCGTAAGGGCATCATTGCCCACAAAAGACGAAAGTGAGTAAATGGACAACACACACACTAAACACACAAACTCATAAATACGCTTTGTAATCATGGCCTTGATTTCCTTAAAGTTCAGTCTCGATTCTGATAGCAAAAGCGGATATACCACATTACTAATAGTAATACGGCATAGGGAAACATAATGAAGTCTATGATGCGGGATATTTATATTGGAACTACAATTACAAGTTACAGCCTGGATCGCCCCTCATCGACAGTTGAACACACCAAGTAATTACAGTAGTACTACTGATTGACCCTGTACTAATTACTCTGCACAGTACTGACAAACCCTTAACGTCACATGAGCTTGTATACGTCCATCGTGAAGACTGTGAATGAAAAATGTGTCTAACGGATGTACAGATATATTATACTACGAAGAATGAGTTACGTCTGTCCAGCCAGCGTACAGTAGACAACAACGTGTCTTCTAAACTTAGACAATGGTAATTACAGGCGATACCTGGAGTAAGAATGGCACAACCTTCTTTAAACGCCGGCGACGTCGTCTAACACTACCGAAAACAATCGTTTATAGGAAGCACGGTTTAAGGTTAGGGTTATCCTTTATCAGTAATTCTGCATATACCTGTGAACGAGCCAAATTACCACACAAGTGCACCGGAGTACCTGCGCTTTCGCGACATATGGAAATTATAAACCTCATTGT